TTAAAAAAGTTATTGAGCGATCAACTTGCAGAGAATTTTAGTTATTTGGGACATCGAAACAAAAGAAATTTTAGTGCTCTCAAACTGTGTTCAATTCTTAAGAGTAAGTATTACACAGAAAAAACAATATTTTAAATTAAATAATTTGTATAATTAAATGTTTATTTTATATCGTTATGTTGTAATATTGATTTTTATTTTTATTTAACATCTAACAGGAGTGGTACGAATTCATAAACCGGAAACAAATGATACACAGATTGCCGAAATCATATCGAGCTGGCTAGTGCATGCTAAGTGGCGACAGCAAAGAGCAGAGTATGTATATTCATTAATAATAAGAAATATATAATACACATATAATAAAAATATTTGTAAAAAAATTTAAAGATTTGTTCTAAGAATGCATGTTATAAATTTTATGTTAGTTCTCGATATTTTTTAGGATAAAAATAAGAAAGCAACAGCAGCGCGAAACTGATGATGGCAACGAAAAAGATATGTAGTATATTAGCCGTCTATGGACACAGAACAAAAATAGTAATATCATTTTTTTCATTTCTGTTGTTACCGGAGAGCTCTCTGTGATAAATATTTTATCAAGACATATAGTATTTTTGTTTGTTTGATTTGTTAAAAATATTTGTATAATTTTTTATAAACATAATATAAATAAATACAATAGAGTATAAGAAATATCCAATAATAAAATGTTTTATTCAATTTTTATAGATTTTTTGCAAATTATTTACTTATATATTCTTTACGAGATTTCTTCTTAAAAAATAAAAAAGATGAAAAAGAAATATTATATTAATTTATTCAATTATTAGCAAAAAATGATTAGAAAGTATAATATTTAATCAATTTTTTGCTAATAGTTGAATAAATCATTATAATATTTCTTTTTATAAGAGTATTAAAAATAATATTAGAAAGTCCCTAGCATGTTATATGAATATTAATACAACGTGCTTTACAAGATTTCTAGAATGTTAATGGAGTCAATTAAAACGAACATTTTTATGTCGCTGGGAGGTTAATGGCAGCTTTATTAATCTCCGTGGAATGTTACTATGTTACAATTTAAGATTATTGTAACCTTTTAGGAATGTTGATGTGCTATGAGGAAGATAAAACGCAAATGTTATATATCATATGTTGATGTCAATGGTTTTCATAAAATATGATATAGATAAAGTAATATTCTTATCTCTAAAGGAGAGGAGAGATTCGACCGGCCAGGGAAGAAAGCCACAATTTTCAACAATATCTTTAGTAAGAATTTTTCTTTGAGTGATAAACTTATTACATTGCCAGAAAACATGGTCAATGTCTTCTGGTGTCCTGCAAACAGCGCAGTTTGGGGATTCCACAATATGGAAACAGAAGAGGCTAGCATTAAGTGAAGTGTGACCACTACGTATCCTACAGATTGAGATGATTTCTCTCCTGGAAGCCTTAAAGCCATGAAACCATGGTTTTCTATGTCTGAAGTGAAAGGACTCGAAATATTTATAACCCTTGATTTTACCCTCATTTTCACAAGAAGTAAACAAATTATTATACATTGTGTCTTTATTGAGGTTTTTGAAATCCAATATAGGAATTTCAATTTGAGAGTCCCTTCCCGAGACCATTGCATTCTTAGCATAGGCATCAGCTTTTTCATTGCCTGGGATACCCCTATGGCTTGGAATCCAGAAAAGGGAAATTTCCTTGTTCATGTTGTTTGCATTTCTGAGTTTGTCTTTTATAAACGCAAGTAAATGCGAACTTTTATTTGGTAAGAAATCCGAGATTAGTGCAGATAGAACCGATTTAGAGTCTGAAAAAATTGAGAAGTTCCTAGAATCAGATCTCAGACAATACTCAACGGTCTCCAAGATCGCTAATGTCTCTATAGTAAATGTGGATAAAAAGCCCACCGATCTGTACTGAAAAATTTCCTCATCTGCAAAAAGCCACAAAAACTCTGAATCAGGCTTTTTGGAGCCATCCGTGTAGATGCATTTAGTGCAAATTGTCTCGTATGCGAAAATTTTTTCAAAGTCCTGCTGAACAGAGCTGGATTCACACAGCTGCCTACCCCTGTCGAAAACCACATTGGGAACATAGAACAGGGAAAGCCAGTGTTTAGAGTACCCTAAAAATTTTGGGCTTGATTCCAAAACTCGAAGAATGTCCTGAAGTTTCCTAAAAGATGTAATCAGAGTGGATTCGTTAATTCTTTGAACATAAGTAGGCGTATCTCTACTTTCAATAATATTGTCCATGATTTCTTTTAGGGGATGGTTTGACCACGTCCAGATTCTAGAAACAAAGTTGCTAGACAGATATGCCCATCTTTGCATCAGAGAAGGTTCCCTAGCCTCAGCCAAGAGAATGTTAGTAGGAGCCCAAGGATAAGCGAATCGCTCGATATTGGATCCTTGATAGGAGGTTCATTGCAGAGGTAGAAATGCTCTGAAACAGAAAGGTGCCATACTCCAGTCTAGATTTAATTAACGACCTGTAAATGATGAGCATAAGATCAGGATCCGCACCCCACCAAACGTGTCTGATACAATTAATAATCTTTAGAGGAGTCTGACAGCTTTCTTTAATTTTCTTAATCTGAGCGTCCCATCCAAGATTTGCCTGAAAAACCAAGCCCAAAAATCTAGCGTGCGATGAATTATCAATCACATCTTTTCCAATTTGTAATGAATGTAGGCCAGGTCTTTTAGCCCTTAGTCCGGGTTCAAAAACCACAAATTTTGTTTTATTTGTAGATAGTTCTAAGCCTATGTTTTTTAAAAAGTTGCACACTGAGTTCAAAGCCTTCTCTAAGGATTGAAGAATGTATGGAATACGGTTGTCACACCTATAAAAAACAACATTGTCTGCGTATTGTAAGATCTTGACCGGGTTTTCTATAGTGTATTCCAGATTCTTGGTGTATATGATATACAGTAAACTTAAAACACTGCCTTGAGGAAGGCCTCTGAACACCGATCTTATCTCATCTATACTGCCAAATTTGAAGTGGACCCTTCTGAATGAAACCAGGTTGTGGATGTATGCCAACATTTTGCTAGAAACTTCAGCTGAGGATAATTTATTAATTAATATATCGTTAAGCACGTTGTCATATGCCGCTTGGATATCCAAGAAGACGGCCACGGAAAGACCTCCCTTATCATGGCAGAGAGTTATGTCCGAATGTATAATGGACAGATTATCTATACAGGATCTGCCTCTGCGGAAACCGTATTGAGTATGAAATAGGAAATTTGTATATTCAAGCCACCAAGAGAGACGGTTACATAGCATTTTTTCAAAAATTTTGCATAGACATGCAGCAAGTGAGATTGGCCTATATTTTGTACCTTCTGCTTTTGGGATAAAAAAAACCACAAAGTCCTTCCATTTCGAAGGATAGGATTTTTCTATATACATTCTATTAAATAGACGAAGTAACAGTTCCTTCAAAGAAGCTGGAAGTTTAGAAATAATTTTATAATCGATACCATCGATATCTGGACAAGATTTTAACCTTAATCTTTTCATCGCAAAGTCAAATTCTGAATCCTCAAAAGGCAGGTCCAAGAAAGATTCTTGTTGGTTAGCATGGATGAAATTTGGTTTATTAGTCGGAACCCAAGGAGGGGTAATCTCCTCTATTTGAGAAAGGATAGTATCGATTTTGTCTGGATCGTATTTGTTACGAGTTTCGGTGTAGTTAAAACGGTACTTAAAACGTTTGATTTTATTCCAGATATAGCTAGGATTCGAATCCTTTCTGAGACTCTCGCAAAATTGTTTAAATTTGTCCCTTTTAATTCTTCTGAGGTCAATTCGTGCGATGGATTCCATTTTTTTAAATTCTAAGAAGTCCTTCCTCTCACCTGATAATTTAAATGTGTTAAGAACAGCTTTCCTGTTAGCGATTAGACTGTCACATTCCTCTTCCCACCAAGGGCAAGAAGGGAATTTTTTATTAAGCTGATTTGAGGAGTTTTTCTTATTGCCATTGACATCATTGACACAATTCCTTCTTTTTTTATATGAGCCTCCTAAAAGTGCCGAGGTGATCCCGCTAACAAGAGAGGAGTAAATAATCTGTATATCCTCACCTGTTTCCATCAAGGGTCCTAAATTTTCCTTCAATAACTCCCACTCATTTAAAACTGCATCCCAGGTTAGTCTTTGTATTATGTAAACGAGGTATTCGTTTATGATTGATCTCTAAAAGAGGATTTGAAGCAATATTTATCAAGATGGGATAGTGATCGCTTCCCCGTAAATCGTCATCCACACTCCATGATGCATCTAGACCCAAGCTACAATGGATAAGCGAAAGATCCGTAACAGATTGACTGTTATGGGCAAAATCACAATGAGTCATATTTCCATCATTTAAACACACATAGTCTTTATCTAATAAGGCTGACTCGAGATTTAGGCCGGATTGACAATTGAACACGTCCCCTCATGCCACATTGTGCATATTGAAATCACCACAGAATAAACAGACATTATTGAACTGAGATAAAAAATTAACCCAGCTAGCAACACCTATGGTAGGAGCCGCAGGAGGTAGCAAGATATAATAGAAATGATATCGTTGCTTATGAAGATATCTATTGCACATGCCTCAATACTACCTTGACAGTCATTAACCATCCTTTTTGGCTGGTATCTGATATTGTTTCTGACAAAAATTAAAACACCAACCGCCCCTTTGGCCGACTCTAATGACATCAAAATCTTTAAGAAATATAGACATTTCAAATGTAAGCCAAGTTTCCGAAATACACATAATGTCATAATTAATAGAAAGTTTGGATAATTCATTAAGTTTTGGTTTAATGCTTCTAGAATTCCATTGTAAAATTTTCAGTTTACTTCCTTGTTTAAAGAGCATAATGTAGAAGAAGCCTCATGGGCTTTCTTGTCAACGGCTGAATGTAGTTTTATAGTATTTCTTAGCCTATCCATGAGTTTATTTTGATCTTTGTCATTATTTAACCAGCTTAAAATTTCCGTAAGAAAAGATAAAGAAACTGAGTCTAATTGAGAAAGAATTTTTGGTACCTTATTATTAGAATTTTCTGAATCTTGGTAATTCTGAGATTTAGATCTTACAGCGTCAGCAAACGTTGAGTCTCTTGGTGACATTGGGCTTGACAGCCGAGGAAAATCGGATCCGTATGAGTTTTTAGAGTTGCATGAATGGTTGACACGTTCAGATTTCCTTCTTGCTTCCAGAAAAGGGATGTTTTCCTCTGCCATAATCCTGTTGATAAGCCTCCTCTTCACAAGTGCCGGGCACGAGAAGTCTGATGAAATATGGTTGCCACCGCAGTTGACACATTTCTTGGCTGCAGTACATGATTTAAAATCTTCCTCTTTACTGAGATAAGAGATGCCACAGGTCAAACATACTCTCTCACTTTTGCATGTCTTACTAATGTGACCCAGGCGACCACAATTATAGCAGATCCTAACATTAGGAATGTAAGCATGAACTGGTGTAACACAGCGCCATAAAATAATTTTACCGGGAAGATTTTCATCTTTAATAGTGATACAGATCAATTGACATTTTTTCCATGTTTTGGTAATCTTGTTTTTCCTTTTTAGTCTGAAGACAACACTAATTTGGAACCCTAGGTTTTCTTTAGAGAATGTAGTCTTCAATTCGTCTATCGTGACGTCCAAAGGAATTTCGTGCATAACACCTTTTCTGAATAATTTATATCTGGGGATATAAACAGTAAAACCGGCTTCCTTAAGATATCTATTTCTTAATGAGTCGCAGTTCTTAATAAGTTGGCAGTTCTGAAATTTTCAAAGGTGATTTTCCAGAAGTTTTTGCCATACGTTTCCATGCTTGTGAAGGGGACGTTACATTTTAGAAGTTTTCTGCTAAATTCTACATTGGATAGTTTGGTTTCTTCTTTTTTGCCCATTTTATATTTAGCGAAGATGATGTATGGGCTACGACAACAATTGTTGTAAAGGCAATCATTATCTATTTTCGTAGACTGCTGACTAAATTTGTTCTTTCCTTAAGTTATAGTATCCGTTGATTCCTCTTTCTTAGCCATTTTCCTCAATTTCTTATCTTTTTTTTCTGAGCCTTTTTTTGCAGGGAATGCATTATCTTCTGACGTCTGTGATGTTAAAGTCGATGAGTCCTCGCGATCACGTTTCTTGGGATTAGAAACTTGAGCTTCTTTATAGATCTTTTCATCTGATTCCTCGATGGAATCGTAGCTATCAGAAGGCAACATGTCACTTATTAACGAGTTATAGGCCTTTTCGAATTCCGGCGAGGGGACAGAAATGATCCCCCCGCCTGACGGATTGAGGTTATCCGTTGTAAATCTTTTCTTTCTATTAGTAGTTTAGAGAGTAGATCACCAAATAAATACACAAAAATGTTTCCCGATCCTTATGGATGAGAAACCTATTAAATTAGGATGAGGGCTCACGCCCTAATACCAGAATATAAGAATAAATATATCCGGAAGGAAAAACACGTGTACAAACAAACAGCGCCAATCTACTCTCATGTTGGATAACCCTTGGATTTGAGGACTGCCTGACATCTGCGTGCATTGATTCAATTAATTGAACATAAAATTTGGTCGGTATTTCTGACCATATTTTTGTGATTTTTTGCATTAATTCTGTTTTATTGGTGAAAGAATGACTTCCCAACTGACGTCCAAAGTAATCCCACAAATGTTCTATTGGGTTTAAGTCCGGAGATTGACTTGGCCACTTGATTACATTAACATTTTGTTCCGTAAGAAATGTTTTAACTAATTTGGAAGAATGTTTGGGGTCATTATCGTGTTGAAATGACCATTCTGATGGCATTTTTTTGTTGGCAAATGGCAGCATATAATTTTGTAAGATGTCACGATACACAAATCTATCCATTGTTTCTTTTATTTGTACTAATGGACCAGGACCGTTACGTGAGAAACAATCCATTATCACATTACCGCCACCTAGCTTTACTGTCGGTTTTAGATACTTAATATTAAATCGCTGACCAATAGGGCGTCACACGTTATTTCTGGAGTCATTTCCAAATAAATTAAACTTGCTTTCATCACTCCATAAAATTTTTTACCATTCAGTAGCAGTCCAATTAATGTGTTCCTTAACAAACTCCAAACGAGCTGTCTTATTCTTTTTCGAAACAAGTGGTTTCTTGCACGGTTTGCGTGAAAAAAGATTATTCTCATCCAAACGACGACTAACTGTTCTGCTACTAATGTTTTGCAGATCTAATTGATTTTTAATTTCAGAAACAGTGTAAAATGGATTTGATTTGGAGAGCCTTGTAATTCGACGATCTTGTTTTTGAGTCGTTTTTCGCGGTCTGCCAGTTTGTGGTGCCATTTTAACGGTTCCATACTCTTGAAATCGTTTTATAATTTTCGTGATAACACAACGATTCACACTAAACACTTTTGCAATGTCAATTTTTTTCTGGCCTTTTTTAAACATTTCAATTATTCTTTGTTTTTCAGTTTCAGTTAAATGTTGCCTTCTTGCCATATTTTAACGCAAATTATAATACAAACTACACTTAGCGACGACAGAGAAAAGACTAAACATTTTCAAACATGTTTGTTTACATTGTATACTTGACTTATTATGAGATGTTTTGATGTTTCTTAACTAATGTCACGCAGTTGAGTTTTCTTTTCTCAACTCGATATTGGTTGTGACCTTTGTACAATTATGCTCAAGAAAAAATTTATTGCATATTAACGTACAAAGTGTTATGTCTTTGTACTGTTTTTGATTCCAACCTGCGCATTTAAAAAAATAAAAAGTGTACGGCAGTTCACGAGCAATTAATTTGTTTCTTAACTTTTGTCAGTAAGTATATATAATTTATAAAAATAAGAAAATTTAATTATTAAGCAAAGTATTAATAAAAATTATTAAAATTATTACTTACTTTTTTAATGTATTGCTTATTATTTATTAACTTCATTAATGTTGAAATTTTCATTACTTATCCATGTTTAATCATACAGCATAATGTTTTAATCAGAAAATTACATTTGCAAGAGAGCCTTGATGTTGATCTGTGTGTAATAATAAATCAATATTTACATAAATAAAAATAATTACAAATAAAGTTTTTATTAATTATGCAATGAATAAAATATACATTAATGTAATAAACAAAAAATATATGTTTAAATAAGACTTCCGTTTCCGGCGCAGTAGCGAGAGACACATGGTAGATGAGCGTGAGTGAGTGACGGAGAGGAAACAGTGTGTGGAAGAGAGAGTGGAGGTGTGAGAGAGAGAGAGTGTGAATGTGGTGGGCATAGGGAAGGGCAGGACAGAAGGGAAAAAGGGGTCAGAGTATAGGGTGACAGATAGGCAGGCATAGACTACAGCGTGTATAGAGAGAAAGAGGTGGCGCGAGTGGGCCAAGATGGATGGAAAGGCGCGATCTGGCGGGATGGAAGGGAGGAAGGCAAGGGGAAGATGCCTGAGCTTTGGGAACGTGGAAGAAATGTTTAAGAGAAAGAGAGAAAAATCAGAGGAGAAGAGGAGGATAAGGGATTTAAAAAGAGCAGAAAAACGCAGAGATCGCCAGGGAAAATAGAGAGGGAAGGAGGGGGAGGGACAGAGGGCTTAAAGGAGTTGATCAGAATGTGGAAAAAGAAAATGAAGAAGATTATGGAGGAAATGAGAGGGGGAAAGGGATGGAGGGAAGAATTAAGGGCGATGAAGGAGGAGATGAAAGAAGGGATTAAAGACAATGGAA